TTGTGTGGTTTTTTGTGTTTTTGGGAGTTTTAAAACCAGGGCCGTTTTTCGTGGTGTTCCCCACCCCTGGTTGCCCAGCGCACAAACTGGGCTCTTCGACACTTGCCCCCCACGGGGGGTGTGGGGGGGGGTTGTTTTAAAAAGGGGGGGGGGGACGTTTAGGAATGGGGGGGGAAGGGGATAAAGTTGCTTGCCCCCGGGGCCCAGGTGTTTTTTTTTTGCAAGGGGGCAAACGGGAAAAAAATTTTTTTGTGTTTAAAATTGGGGGGGGGGGGAGGGTGAGATCCCCCCAATGAATGGGGGGATGAAACGTTTAAAAGAAATTGGGCTGGGCACACCCAAGGCACACAAGTCAACATTGCTTCCCCGACCACCCCTTTCTTGGCCCGGGGCAAACACACACACACACACACACACACACACACACACACACATACACACACACACGCACACGTATAACCACATTGTACTCAGTACCTCGATGAGGGTCTCGATGTGGCGGACATATGCAGAGTTGATGGGTGCATCGCCGGCCGCGTGCTCCCACTCAAATGCCAGCACAAGCAGTACGTCCTGACGTTTGGGACAGGGTTGGGGGGGGGGGGGTTCGTGTGTTTGTGTATGCAGGTGTGGCGTTGTGTGAGTGCTGACACGTGTGTGTTTCAGCTGAGGTGAAAGCATACATCTTGCAGAGTAACACGTACACACACGCAAACACGCACACAAACACACACACACACACTCTCTCTCTCTCTCACACACACACACACAAACACACACAAACACACACACACAAACACACACACACAAACACACACACACACACACACAAACACACACACACACACACACACACACACAAACACGCTCTCTCTCCCCCTCTTCCCCTCTCTCCCTCTCCTCTGTGTATCTCAACATCAACAAAGGTGTGCGCGTGCGGACGTACGAGGGATGTGCAAGCCCTGAGGTCGGCCCACTGTCCGTGGTTTGCCTCAATCTGGTACGTGGCGAGGAACCCAGCGCCCTCCTCATCAAGCTGGTCCGGGCGGTGCGTGAACAGCCTTGATGGTGATGATGGTGGTTGCGGTGAGAGGAGGTGAGGAGATGTGGGACAGGGGCTCATGGTGATGGCAGGGTTATGTTCGCACGCACACACACATACACATACACAGAACACACACACACATACACGCACACAGAACACACACCCTTGGCATTCACTCACGTGTCAACAGATGTCTCAGCGCCCCAGTCCACGTTCGACAGGGCCTTGCCAATCTCATACACCACGCGCGGTACAAAGCGCAGCGTCTGCGTCGGGACATTCACGCGTGGAAGAAGGAAAGCGGGATGTCATTCACAGAGATGAGGGGAGGATCGGAAACAGCCAACACAGGCACACAGACACACAAACACACAGACACACAGACACACATATACACACACACGCACATTTACACGCACACGCACACGCACACGCACACGCACACACGTGACAGCTGCCACGTGTGCACACCGTCATCATAACGACCGCACTGTGTACGCCACGCATATCAATAAATAACAAAGCAATGGCATGTCAGCGGCAGCCATCAAACAGCACCCAAGCACCCCCCCCCCCCCCCCCACACACACACACCTGTGGTTCTGTCTGCAGGAGCAGAAGGCGCTGATTGCGGAGTTGTGTGAGAATGGGAATGCCGGTGGAGGGCGTGACGCGCGCAACACCCGTGCCTGCAGGCAACCAGCATGCGCGTGCGGGTACATCAGTGAAGGACGTGTGTATGTGTGTGTGTTTGTGTGTTTGTGTGCGCGGGAGAAAGAGATGATGCCGAGCGTAGACGCAATCACCACAAGGCAGGCCGAGTAAATTGCGACTCATGCACCCGTTTGCACCTGCATGTGTGTGTGTGTGTGTGTGTGTGTGTGTGTGTGTGTGTGTGTGTGTGTGTGTGTGTGTGTGTGAACGTACGATCGCGAGCGTCTGGGAAAACGCGCCGCTTCGCCAGCGTCTCGGCGGCAAAATTCTTCACAAACTCAACCTGGATTGTGAAGGGGTGTGTATGTGTGTGTTCACGTGAGCAAGCGTGCGTGCGTGCGTGTGCGTGTGTGCGTGTGCGTGTGTGTGCGTGTATGTGCGTGTATGTGTGTACGTGTGTAATGCGTGTGTGTGTGTGTGTGTGTGTGTGC